TCCTTAGGTTGAAAGCGGCCCGCGAGCTGGTGGCCCTCCCCGAAGGCTCCGGGTTCCCGCGGGTCGGCGGGGCAAACACCGGGAGTCGCGGTGGGTGGGGTGGGCTGTGCCCTGATCCGGACTCCTTTTCCTCAGCCGTACCACAGGTCCCTTCTCCTCTCTTGGCTTCGGGTTACGGAGAAACTAGCTCGGGTTTTTCGGCCCTCAAATTCTAATACTGTGGTTTTGTACCTTTCGTGTGTGGAAAAATTAGGAGAGGAAGCCTTCTGACATGATAAATTCCCGATTCTCCCCATCCTGATTCAGCAGGTCTGGAATGGGGCCCAGGAACCTGCATTTGTACCAGGCGGCGGTGTCCATGGAGACCAGTTGGAGAAACACTATAATCTTTCCAAATATGGACTTGACGGTGTCACATCTCTGACGACAAACTTAAAAAAAAAGGCAAAACCAAAACAAACCCCACATACGCCATTAGTGCCACTAATTCATTTATTCATTCAACAAATATTTACTGGGTCCCTGCTATGTAAGACATGGTTTTAGGTGAGGATAGAGACGTAAACAAAACAAACTCTGCCTTCACAGAGTTGACATTTTGGTTGAGGCCCTACCACCGAAATGGTCGTTCCAGACACTGCTGAGTGCTTTCCTGTTCCGCACTGCTATTGTGGGGGAGTACCCCTGATTAGGGGTAAGAGAGCTCTGGTCTTAGAGTGAGAGCCCTGGCTCCAGCCTGTTCGGCTTCACTGTCACCCCTGTCCTGTCTCCACTACAGTAAAATGCAAGTTTCTCTCCCTTACTCCCCACAATTCCACCCTGGAGCGCTGCAGCCTCCCTGGCTCCAAATCCACGCCCTCCCCTTTCCTCTGCTTGAAATGCCAACCCCGCCCCCAAACACACACACACACACACACACACACACACACACACACACACACACACACACACACACACACACACACACACACACACACACACACACACTGAGAGGGGTGGGGAGATTATCTTCCCTCATTGCCCTCCTTCCTTCTGGAAACCTTAGATTGGTTCAGCCTGACATCCGACATACCCTCTTCCTCAGAGGCCCCTGGGAAGAAGTCCTGAGCTGATTATAGCTGCGGGGGTCCCTGTGTTGCTCATGCTCCCTTCCCAGATTCATCCTGGGGACTGGCCAAGCCTGTATTCGCTTGGTCTTGAAAAAGAACTTTCTCTTGAGCCCAAATGGCAGCCCGTGTGGCAGAGAGAGCACAGGGAGCGAAGTCGGAAGGTTTCTAGGTACGTTTCAGCTCCATCTTCCTTCCTGGTGTCAGTTTCCTTGACGATGCCTTCCAGCTCTGCCAGGCTGTGCTTTCCTGGCTTCCCTGCCCAAGGCCAGAATGGGGGCAAGGCCGGGAGCTGGAGGGTTTCCCTCGGCTTTTGGGAGAGTGGTCCCTGAAGTCTTCAGGCCCTAGGGCTGGCGCGAGGGTCTGTTCCCACACCTGGCTCTCTCCCTCTCATTTGACCGTGACCTCAGCCAGGCTGGGCTTTGGGGAGGAGGAGAAGGAGCCTGCGCGGGCCCCCTCCCTGCAGAGCCAGCCCCACACACAGCCCCAGGCCAGGCTGCTGCTTCCTGAGCCGATGAATTATTACCGGGAGATTTCCTTCCCTGTCTGCGCCTCCTCACAGGGGCTCCCGCTCCCTTCACTTTCGCTTCCCCCCCACCCCCCTTTCTCCCCCTCTCTTCTGCTCTCGACCCTCAGGCAGCTTGAAATTCCTCTGTCCAGCCCCCTCCCATTCCAGCCCGACCTGGAGGAGCCAAATAGGGCGTGAACTGGGCCCGGAAGGTGGGGAGGGGGCTCCCTCCCAAGGCGCGTTCATTCATTCGCTCCCGCTCTTAGGGCAGGTCTTGACACAGGGGACCCTGGGAGTAAAATAAAACCATGAATGAGACTCAGAGCCTTCTGTAGCCCAGAGGGGAAGGCGAGCTGTAAACAAAGAAATCCTGGACAATGTGGTAGGAGCAAGCCAGGGCCTGGCATCAGAGAGACCTGGTTCCGGCTCCAGGTTAGCTGTCTCCTGTCTATTGGAGTCTCAGCTTCCGGCTCTGAATATAGGCGGGTGATAATAGTACTTATTTCTAGAACTGATGTTGATTCCATGAGTTTATGCCAATATAGCCAGGGCCTGGTGCACAGAGCGCTCAATACCTGAGAGGTGTTGGGGCTTGTGGTGTCAGGGGCTGGCCCCAGCTGAGGTGCACCCTGCCTAGGAAGGGGCTCAGCCACTTGGACTCCTAGGTCTTGTCCCTGGGAGTGGGGAGGGGGCTCCTGCTTCATGCTCAGCCTACCCACACAAGAGCCTCAGCTCCTCCCATCCTCTGTTCCTCATCCTTGCTCTCCCTGGAGCCCCTCTCTGCCTAGAACCAACTGTCCCCAGATATCCACATAGCGAATTCCCTCACTTCCTTCCCATCTTCCCTAAAATCTCATCTCCTCAGGGAGGTCTTCCCTGACCACTGGGACTGAAATAGCAATGGCCCCTTCTACCCCAGCACCCTTCTGTCTCTGCCTCTCCCCTGTCCCCTGCTTTACTTCTTTCCACAGTATTTATCATTGTGTTCACTCTTTCATTTATTCATTTACCTACAAATGTTAATTGAGTACCTACTATGTGTGAGGCATGGTTCTGGGTACTGGGAATAAAGCAGTGAACATAGTACATATTTATTTGTCTGCTGACTGTCTGTCTCTACTAGAATATAAGCTTCACGGGGCAAGGGCTTTGTATTTTGTTCATTGCACTTCCACTTCATCACAATCTTATGAGGTAGGCATTGTTATTCCCATTTCACAGATGAAGAAACTGAGATTCCAAGAGGGGAAAGTGACTTGCCTAAAGTTGCACAGCTCAGCTCATTTTCCCCAGGCATGCAGCCTCTCAGGCAGCCCAGAGGGGTATAAGGGCTAAGTAGGAGTCCCAGGTAAGAGGAGGAGGTTCTTACAGGCTGAGAGAGCAGCAGCTGGCCCCTGCCTTCCTGACCAGCACATCCTGGCCTTCAGTCCCACTGAAACACTTAGAGTTCCCCTGAGGCACCAGCTTTGCCCACTCTTTCCACCCCTCCTGGGGTGCCCATCCCTTCAGATCTGACCAGACAACCCCACTCCTCCACCAGAGTTCAGTGTAGCTTCTCAGCAAACCTGCCCTTTAAAAAAAATTTTTTTTTAATGGAGGTACTGGGGATTCAATCCAGGACCTCGTGCATACTAAGCATGCACTCTACCACTGAACTATACCCATCCCACTCAGTGGAGCTGCTTTGTCTCTCCTCCCCCTCCTTGGTGCAAAGACTTGTGTTGACACACCATGTTCTGACTTCTCTCCCTGATTCTCCACTCCCATGTCCCTCCTCGCACAGGGCACCCACTCTAACATATTTTTTAAAGACAATTTTTAAGAGCAATTTTAGGTTTACAACAAAATCGAGAAGTATAGAGATTTCCCCTATACCCCTTGTCCCCACGTATGAATAGCCTCCCTGTTATGAACACTTCCCACCGGAGTGGTACATGTGTTACAGCTGATGACCTACGCTGACACACCATTATCCCCAGCGTCTGTAGTTTACCTTAGGCTCACTGTTGGTGAGTTGTACATTCTATGGGTTTAGACAAATGTGTATTGACGTATATCCATCAATATAGTATCATACAGGATATTTTCACTGCCCTAAAATTCCTCTGTGTTCTACCTGTTCATCGACCACCCTCCACCCTCATCCCTGCAACCACTGATCTTTTTCTTGTCTCCATAGTTTTTGCCTTTACCATATTGTTGGAATACTACGGTATGTAGCCTTTTCAGACTGACGTCTTTCACTTAGCAATATGTATTTAAGTTTCCTCCATATCTTTTTATGGCTTGAAAGCTCATTTCTTTTTAGTGCTGAATAATATTCCATTGTCTATATGTACCACAATTTATTTATCCATTTACCTACTGAAGGATATCTTGGTTGCTTCCAGGTTTTGCAATTATGAATAAGGCTGCTAT